TCCGAATTGACTTTTTCTCAAACCTAAAATTCATGATTTAGTGGGTGTTTGGTGGGGATTAAAATTAGATTTTTAGTAGATTGTGATAGAAGTTTTTGAAATGTGTGGTTGAAAAGTTGTGGGACCCACAAAATATGTGGTTGAAATGAATTATTATCGATTTTTTCTTAAATTAAAATCTAGATTTTAACCATTATCAAATTTGAGCTTAGTATGGTTAAGAATTTTTAACTTTCAAAAGTGAGGTTCTAACTCCTCAACCTATTTAAATATTTGAGGTAACCACGTGACAAAATTGTCAATATGAATAATACAATCATATGCGTAATCCTGGAAACTCCCGTTCGTAATTCCACATGCTATTTTATTAAATTTAAGATTAAGCTCTTGTTTGATGGGGATTAAAATCAAATTCTTTGTAAATTCTAATAAAAATTGATGAAATGTGTTGTTGAAAAGTTGTCGATCATATGAAATATGTTAATAAAATTAACGATTGACTTTGAATTGGATTATAATCTAAATTTTAATCCCTCCCAAACAATAGCTAAATATTAATTGGAAGGAAATATTATATCCTAATTTTAAAAAGAGAATTTTGTTCTTCTTTTCCTTTTCCTTTTATTTCATCCGAGTTTGCCTGTGTACCCTTCAAAACTGCATCATTAAAAAAAGAGTAATGTTATTCATTCCCAATGTGGATGAAAACATAGTCTATGTGGCACTTATTTATTTTCACATATCATTTAATGCCACANAGTATTGTTATTCATTCCCAATGTGGATGAAATCATAGGCTATGTTGCACTTATTTACTTTCACATATCATTTAATGCCACATTAGCGCCACACAGACTGTGTTTTCATCCCCAATGGGAATGAGTAACATTGCTCTTAAAAAAAGGTTCACAACAGTGGTGTCAAGTTCTGAAGATTACAAAATCATTAATCTGCACTTTTTGTAAAGATTTAGAACTCGACTTTAATTTTACCGATTAAATATTAATGGTAACGTGATAAGAGTAGTTCTTACACTTTTTAGGGCCCTTAAGTTTACAAATTTGCATCAAATAATCTTTGTTTGGACTAATTTGTGCTAATTTTCTTTTGTTTGTAGAATGGACTAAAGGAGGGACTTGTTAGAGACAAACAGGGCTAAACTGAAAAGATATGAGACGCATTCGAGCCAATTCAAAGAGGTAGAGGACTAAATTGGTAAATCGAGAAAGTTCAGGGATTCTATTGGATGCTGATAAAGTTTGAGGATTCAATTGAAAATTGAGAAAAAGTTCAAAGGTTAAAAGTGAAATTTTAGGAGAAAAAGGGCGTCGCCTGCTCTTGCGAATCTTATACCCAATAACGACTATATTTTTAATTTTAATTGAATTTTAAGCTTGACCAAACATTCTCTAAGTTGCTTGCGCTCAAGCCCTTCCCACTTATGGAGAGGCCTTCACCTTGGGCTGAGTGGTTCATTATTAGGATTGACAATTCATACATGTACTAGAGATTTTTGGAAACTAATAGCTTGTTTGATAGGGATTTTTTGGGGAATAATTGATTGTGAATAGTAATATGATGGGAAATGTGTGGTTGAAAAAAAAGGAAAAAAATTATTGACGTGATGAAAAATATTATTTTATTGAAAAATGTATGGTTGAAAATGAAAATTGATTTACTGTAGCAAAATGAGAATTCCTACCAAACAAGTCATAAATGACTTTTGAAAAGTCAAATAAAAGTTTTTAGATTAAAAAATTGTTTTTAGACTTAACTAATTTTTTAAAAAAATTTTCTTCTAATTAGAATAATTTTTAGATGAAGTTGGTCCAATTTGACTTCTTCCACTTCTGAAATAGAAAACGCTTTTAAAAAATTAGTATTCAATCAAAAATTAAGGTAGCTTTTTTCAAAAGACCTCCTATAAAAAGTAAAATAAAAATAAAAATCATGTCTAACTATCCCTAAGTTGAGGAAAAAAAACAAAGTAATGAGCTAAGGGTTGAAGAATAAGGATTCAAGCTTGGTGCAAAATTGCTATTCTTTTTTATTCTCCTTCTCTTCTTGAAAACCAGCGATCCTAATTTGTGTTTTTCTAGGTCGGTGATTTGTGGGCTAAATTTATTTACTTGAGTGAACGATGTAGCTTTAATTCGGTCACGAAATGTCCTAGGTTTGTGGCGACTTAAAAAGTGAAAAATAACCATTCTATATCCTAGACTTGCTAACTGTAAAGTTGACTGAAAGTAAATGTTAAAGAGTTGTCAATTTGTCGAACATATGAAATATCTTCGTACGAACGACGTAATAGAAGATATCTTATGAAGCAAAGACTTATCACTTTGCAAATAAACTGCATCAACTTGTGACGCTTTGCTTAGAACACGAAAGTTCAAGCATCGTCATGTTGCTTCAGATGAGATCACTTGTGCCTAAGCGCAAGGCTCGACTTACAAAGATGAAGTGACTTGGAGTAGGGGCATTGAGTAACTAATTGCTATTTTCTTAACTAGCCGCAAGTGACATATCTCGTTGGACGAGATGTAACGGTCTTTAAAAGTCATTGAAATATTGAATATTCATACTTAAGACTTTTAAAAAAATTTAATTAAAGAGTAATGCTATTAATCCTCACTGGGGATGAAAACACGATTTACATGACGTTAATGTGACATTAAATAATAGGTGAAATTAAATAAGTCATTTTATTTAACATATCATTTAAAACTACATACATTGTATTTTCATCCCCACTGAAGATGAATAACATTATTCTTAATTAAATACTACATAACTTTTAAAGTCCTTTTTAAACTCAAAAGTCTATAAAAATCTATATTGAAGACATCGATATGTTAGAGAGTTTTATATTGAAAACCTCAACTTTTAAATTCTTTAAATTTTTCGAAAATTGCAATTAAATACAGCCTGTAATATCGAAATGCCCATTTTACACGGATCATGAAAAAATAAATTTGAGAAGCAACTCATATATAGGGTCTGTTTGGTACAGATTCTCATTTTCTACAGTAAATCAATTCTCATTTTTAATCACACATTTTTCAATAAAATAATATTTTTCATCACATCAATATTTTTTTTTTCATTTTCAACCACATATTTCCCATCATATCACTATTCAAAAATCAATTATTCCCCCAAAAATCCCTACCAAACACACTCATAGAGAGTAAAGAGTCGCAGTGAGTGATAACCTTCCATCTCCTCGACCACCGACACAGTGAGTCACAGCAGCGTACTCTTTAACAACCTGAATTTCTCCAATCCAAATTCATTTCAATTCAATCTCCATTCACCGATCCTCTCGACTTTTCTTTCGTTAAAGAAGAAATCCTCAACCAAGACACAAGAATTCCTATGCATACATACAGACATTCCATTCTTTTAAATTGATAGAGGAATTAATGTCAGGTAAGGGAAGCTTTGCGTTGTCGCGTAGCCATGGGGAGATAGATTTTACAACCCGCCGGCAATGCGGAAGCAACAGCAATTGCTGTTACAGCAGCAACAGTTGATGCAGAAGCAGAAGTTGATGCACCAGCAACAACAGCAGGAGTTGCAGCGGGCGGCAGTGAAGACGGATTCATTTACCCTTGCGGGGGCTGGAAACCGAAGCGAGCCTGATGATTCGAATGCAGCATTGTCGAAACGGGATTCTGTCCGCTCGGTTTCGCCTCCTGTACCGCCGCCTGTTGATGTTACTAACTTGGATCGTTTGATGGAATCTGTTACTCCCTTCATTCCTGCACTGTGCGAGTCTGAGGTAAACCCTAAACCTCCGTTTTGGTTACATGAAACCAAACCAAAAATCCCATTCTCTACGAAGTCAACTTCAAATTCTTCACTTTACTAATAATTGATTTGAATTTACTATCTCATGTTAGGATCACTGGATTGCGTATTGAAAATGGGATTTAAACGTGAATGTTATACCGTGTGCTGTCTTTTTCCCATTCGAAACCCAATTAAATGTGTCCAAAAGGGAAAGACTTGGAGATTGCATTCAATAAGATGTCTTTGTTTTGGATGAATTATGAAAAAAATGCAGCTTTGAATGGTTGTGTTTTTGTCGTTCTTCAAATAATTTATGAAAATAGAGGTTTCAAAAGATTGTTACTTCAGCTTTTTTGAAACTTCATGAATGTTTCCGTTCGAAAGACCATTAATTTGCAGCCTTTTTAAAGGTTTGATTAAAGAAGTCGTTTAGGAGCATCCATTGGCAGTAGTTAGAAAATCTACAAAAGTCGTTTTCTGAAGGTCGATAATTTGAGCCATTTTCTAAAAGATTACAAATTTGCTGTCGAAGGTTGTTGGCAATATTTGAAGATTTATCATATCTGAAGTTTTCTAAAGGTCATTATTTTGCATCATTATGTATTGTTTTGACAGGCCAATGCAAGGGGATGGAGAATGCGGAAAGCAGTGTCCCATCCATTTTTTTGCCTGGACGATCTGTGGGAATCTCTTAAAGAATGGAGTGTGTATGGGGCTGGAGTACCTTTGGTATTGAATGAGAAAGACCGAATCACACAGTATTATGTTCCTTACTTGTCAGGCATACAGTTGTACATAGATTCTAAGAAGCCTCATTCACAACTTAGGTAAGCTTTATTTAAGAGTACTGTTTGATTGTCTTGGTACTTGATCTTCGGTTGAATTTATTAAGGTTGTCATTATGCATTTGCTTTTGGTAAGTAATTACGGTAATTCATTTTTGGTTTTGTGTCAATAGCTACACCATAATCACCTGTGTCACATTCCTTTTGATCATTATTGTTGTGATCACCTACTCCCATTGTACTTTCGATCTAATAGGGAAATCTTGTATTGATAGTTTTTTCGATGTGTTATTGTTTATGCATTTGCTCTTGTTAGTAATTCTGCTGTCATGCATTACTTGTTTTGTACCATGGTAACATTCCTTTAGAAGTAAGTATCACTCCTTAAGTGATCAGTGGGGGTGTTGTTTGCCCAGGTTATGGAGCAACAGTGCAATTGGAAAGCGCTGATGTGAAAATAACCAAAATCCATAAAGGCTCGAAACCATTTGCTTACCCATGGGATGTTTTGGGATAAGCGCTTTCTAATATGTAGGATAAAATATTTAATATGATAGGTCTTATAACAATACCACTGTTTTCCCAACAATGTTAAGTAGAACACAAATAACATTGATTGACAGGTTTTGAAATTTGAACATACAACTTTTGAATATTTTGATTAGCAACCATTCGACATGGATTCCCTTGGGAATTTTTCTACTTTCGGCCCTCTAAAATCATATATTTTCTCAGAATTCAGATCTTGATTGCAGAATTTTTAAATTGGAGTTTGACTTTCCTGTATCCGTGTTCTGAGAATTTGACTCCCTATTCCCCATGTTCTCTCTGCACCAACGAATAGTTAGCAAAATGCTGTGACAAACCAAGATGCCTTCATAACTATTACTTCCACCTATATTTATTTGCGAAGCTTCTTGTTGCTCCATCTGGAAACGATATCTTTGAGCTTATAGTCTCAAATTTTGTTGAGCTTCACAAATTAACAATCTAATTTTATCTGGAACTTCAAAGATATCTTGATGTCTATAACATTTTGTAGACATGATTAAAATCTGTCCAAAGGGTAGTTTAACAGTAAAGCCATTAGAGCTCATTTCTTATTAGTTTGGTTCATTCTAAATTATACATGATCCTTGAAACACTTCCTGCTAATGCCAGGCCAATTAAATTTTAAGTTGAATAAATTTAACATGCTATTGATGTTACACGAATTCAAATTATAGATCATTTAGAACTAAATCCAGTCTCTTCTGATTGGCCCCTTCCCTTTCAAAATCTTATTATAAAATTATAGAACTGGAGTATCTATGTGGTGGAACAGATATACAGTTGTGAAAAAATGTGGTTAAATTTGCTTTTGGTTTTGAGCTTAATGATGAACCCATTGTAGGATCATAATATGAGGCGTTCAATACTATAAGTTCTTTTAAAACATTTTTAAAAAATGTGGTTACTTTTGCCTTTGAGCTTAATGACAAACCTATTGTAGAATCACAACATGAGCCATTCAATACTATAAGTTCTTTTGAATTGTAAATGCTTTTTATTTGTTGTGGAATTACTACTTCTTGATTTTTCCTTCTCCTTGTTTTGTTCTTCGAAATTCATATTCTACTGATGTGGATTATGGCATAGAATCAGAAAAACATTTGACTTCTGAAGTCTCGCTAAAACATGCAGCAGATCATTCCTGCACTCCCTATATATCTTCTAAGTACGTAAAAAGATTAAGTCTATTATATAAATAGAAGTTGATGTCCAAATTTGTTTTAATTGGGGCAACCTGTATGATTTCTTTGTACTTATTGGAAATTATATTTCAGTATTATATTTGGTGAGGTCATTTCATGCGAGTAATGTATTTATGCAGAATGGGAAGATATTAAGAAAATTATCTTTTGTATATTATGGTATTGTTTTTCGGGCTATATGAGGAGAAGATTATAAAGACCGTAGAAAATGGGCTGCATCGCGGTAAATGTCCTTTGCTGGCCTGGGATTGTATTATGGCATCATCATTGACTTCTGTTTCTTCATATTCGATATCTTATATATATTACAATGTATAATCTTTGATGCTAGTTCCCTTTCTGAGTAGAAATTTGCTTCTCAGTGCATTTGGTAATAGAATTGTTGGGCTAAAATGAAGTCATTAGTGGCATTATTATTACAATTCAAAAATTTTAACTTGGCATGCTATAGAAGAAAATATTAAAAGCTTGGATTTCATGTTCACGATTATCCCCTAGCTTTAGTGGCAAATAGTCATATATACTAAGTGCTGCTTTATATCTATATATTCCATGACAACGAGTTTGCTGTACTAAGATAGTTAACTTGGAGCAGTATCTGATATGCTTCAGTTAAAAATGAGAATGCTTATCCACTATATTACCTTGTTCTTCTTCTAGGATTGTTAATGACTAATCAGATGTAATTAACTTGTTGATGACACAAACTGATTTTCCTTTGACCTCAACATTTTTGTGTAAGAACCAAAGCAATTGGAGAAGCTTCCTATTGACATTGCCAAACATATGTTTCTTGTTTTGGTGAACACGTGCCAACTGTTTTCTTCAGGAGGCCTGGTGAGGAGAGTGATGCTGAGTCGTCAATGGAAACAAGTAGTGCTAGTAGCAGTGATTGTGAAGCTGATAGGCGTTCCAAATCCATTGTGGATGGGTCGAGGAATCTGCAGAACCTCATGAATTCTAACTCCCAACGTCTAAACAAACTTGTGCTGAGAGATAAATCTGTCATCAGTTCATCCAGTGACGAAGCTGAAATTCCAAATTCATCAGGATTACTCTTGTTTGAATATTTGGAACAAGAACAACCACATAACCGTAGACCACTAACTGACAAGGTAGACCTCACATTTTAGAGTTCAAAATATCCAATCAGCATTTGTCCATGTTTTTTATGTCTTCAAAAGTGGTTATTTGTGCAGATTTCCGTTCTTGCATCCCAATTTCCTGAACTGAAAAAGTACAGAAGCTGTGATCTACTTCCAGCAAGTTGGGTGTGTGTAGCTTGGTATGTTTCTTGCACATATACAAATTTTTTTATTATTAATTTTGATGTTCCTGGCTCTTAAAATGTCTTGCTTATGTAATCTGTTGCAGGTATCCAATTTATAGAATACCCATAGGCCCAACACTGCATGATCTGGACGCATCATTTTTGACCTTCCATTCATTGTCAACGCACTCTAGAAGTACATCTCTCTCTCTCTTTCTCTCTCTCTATCCATCTATCTCTCCCTCCCCCCAGACCCCCCAAAAGAAAAAGAAAAACAAAGGCTGGGGAGTAACCGAGAGATGAAAAGTAGTAAACCTCCACTCTCTACAAAAAACAAAAAAGTGAACTCTATCCCTTTGTCACTGCATGTGTCTGAGTGTGTATGCGCATGGATTGTCTTCTTTGTCCTTCATTGACACACTGTGAACGTACAGATAATATTTCACCTCAATTTCATGCTGCAAACACTAGGCAAGTCCGTGGAATCGTCGATCCATCTTCACAGATTTCATTACCAGTCTTTGGCCTTGCTTCATACAAGTTAACGGGTTCAATTTTGAGTCCTTGTGCAGCTCATGAACGTGAGCAAGAGAACTCTCTTTTGCAAGCTGCAGACAATTGGCTTCGCACTTTGCAGGTTATTCTCCCTGATTACCAATTTTTTCTTGCTCACTACTCCCATTGGAGATGAAGGGTCGTCTCTTTTTTGGTGAGCAAAAGTTTAGTGCCAATTTCGGGACGATCATTTTTGGAAATTGAACTTCTACAGAACTATGCCCCTCTTCCCAGCCGACCAAATAGCCCGGAAAAAGATCGTGCCCTTTGTTTTAGCTTTCTCGTGTTATGGGCATGTTTAAAATACCTTCAATAGCATTGTTATTCAAGAAGGTAGGCTGTGTGTCAATTCAATTCACCATAGATGATAAAATCTACTGGTGTGGGACATGGGATGCTACACAGTTGGTTTTGTTGTTTAGAGACTTACAAGAGTTGTGATCAGCACCAAGATGCGAATTGACCTCTTGTGACATGTTTGGTGCATTGGAGTGGACCACATAGGAAGAAAATGAGTTGAGATCTTTTCGACTTGACTTAGCAGATCTTTCTACAAAGCGTGCTCTTGGTTATGTTGTGGTGAAGGGCAGTTGAGATGTATGCGATTTCAGTATATTACTGAAATCCTTGATTTTAATACTTTCTGCAACAGTGATGAAAATTTGAACTATTTGTAATCTGTACTTTTAGAATGCTTATACAAACCCGTAGCAGTAGAGTTCTAATAATGTAGGAAATATTTCTTGTTTTTATTACTCTGCAGTCATAAATCTGGCTCACTTGAGTTCTTATGTTACTTTTTTGACTTTTAAGTGAAAGAAAGTTACTTACCTCTGTGT